GACGTCCAGTGATTGTCCCAGTGGAGGCCACAGGGACAGGCAAATCAGGATACAGATGCCGCCAATTCATGCTACAGTAGCTATTTACTTTAGTTAATTTGCCTGTCATCTATAGTCCCAACACAAATTACTAATTTTGACAGTTCAAACAACTTAGAAGTTAATCACTACCCCGATTAGACACTTTCCACACATTATTATTACTATTTTGAAGTTTGTGTCTGACGAAGTTTTACTTCAAATAATCCTTATTTCTGTACTAACTTCCGGTCTTGATTCTTTTCAGTAAAACATAAATAAATGAAGCAATGATGGTTTGTTTCCCACTCCGTATCTATTGGGCGAAATAACATGACTGAAGAGCGGATTGCTTGCAATAAACTTTTGATGATCGACTTTCAACTGCTCATGGGGCGTGGCGAGAAAATATAGTTAGTGAATACTGACGAGAAAATGGATATATTATGGCCACGATATGCTTACTAAGACATTTACCAGATGGGAATCCATCTCTGGATTAGACGTATTGGGACGAGAAACAACTACCACAAAGCAGGTATCGCTGCGTCTCAGTTGCGGGTGGGGCCGAAGTTAATCAGCGATCAGTGCTTCCGGATCCCCAATCGGCTCACAATGCAGGCTGTTGCGGTAATGCGGAAGTATGCCACATTTCCTGCCACGTGATGGTTTCGAAGAAGGGACACTCAATGTTTCGCGACTTCTACATGGCTAATTCCTGAGTGTAGCGTCTGATGCCTGACGCCGTCGAACTTCGGTGAACTAGTTAATGAGAGCGTGTATGTTGGTGTAAACGCATAAAGTTTCGCTGAGTACAGTAGTGAATCAGAGGACTTGTGATGTTGATGTTATGTTGCGCCGACCGGTGAATGTTAGACCGCTATGCGTTTTACGGTTGAGCATTGACAAACTGATATGTGTCAGACACAGTGGTTTTGACTAAATCCTTGTGTGTGACATATGGAATGTGAACCGCGGTTTTGGAGACCTACAGCGTAATCGACAGTTAAATGCTATCTTCACACAATCAAGCAACCATCGGAAAAAGTAAAAAGACAAACAAAAAATGGGCAACGTATATGTTTGTTGTCAAAACGTACGATATAACTAGACTGACAGGCACCAAAGAAAAGCTAGCGAAGGGAATTCGAAGGACAAATGTAGCGTTCGGATCGCATTCCAGATGTTAATGCATATAAACAAGGATGGCCAAGATGCGACACACAGACTGCCTCATTATCCGGAGTACAAATAAAAATATAAGTATGAAATAACTTACGCAGCAAACAACAGTCGTGCGGCGAACTCTTCAAGTCACCACAGGATGGTTGTGTAGTGGTAACCGAGCTGCTGCAAGTAAGCTGTTCGAATGTGTTCCACCTTTAGTTTCTCTTAGAGGAGTACGCCGAATTAAGTCGGAACTCAGAAAGTAGCCCGCTGTGATGCACATACCCGTGCTCCAATACGTTTACTGTCATCTCGCTGGAGTAAAGGCGCACCTTCACAGTCATGTTGCCACAGTTATTGTGGCCCAGTGAAATAGGTAGCCTCGATAGTGATTGAGCTACAACGTTTACGCGAAGGGCGTCTCACCAATGTAGCGCCACTGCTCCTGGCCGTGCGTCGTTGTTTCGCAAACACCATTTCCTCCAGCCTCGGGGACAATGTGGGCAATGATTGTCCTAACTATGGCTTCCTCTGGTAGTGTTTCGAGTCATACATTTTCTGTTTACTCTCGCCCCACGGAATATGTTGGAAGACAGGAGCCGAACAGAATCCATCACTGAGGCGGTGGATCCATAGCAGAACTGCTTCTGCCTTATTAGCGGAATCCAACTCTACTCGGACAATTTTCGAATTACCGCAGTGCTTCAAAAATTGGATGACCAGTAACCGACATTAGGTTAGCAGGATTAACTACAACACCCAGTATGTCATACATGAAGTTCCACTGGCTCATGTCATCCAGTTGCCTATCTTTTAAGTAATTTGTCCTCGATTTTGGACACTGGCGCGGATTACCGGCTGTAAACTCTGTGGTTTCTTAATGATCGTTTATGTAGTCTTGGTTGTGGTCGATTGATCCTACCAACTGCGCATAATCGATGATGCATTCCTACGTTTTGGATCCGGTGAGAATAACCAGGAGCCTAAATTTCCATGTGCATGCTGAAATGGTCGACTTTGGTGTCTGCACGTCTGTAGCACTGCGCAATACACTATCGGAGGTTGCGGGTGGGGGTAGCAACAACATTAACGCTCAACGGGCACTGTGAGGTGAAAAAGTGGTCGTGCAAGAATTGGTACATGCCGTCTGATGGCTTTCCAAGTAGGAGACCGACATGTATGGTTGTGGGCCCGTTGGAGTGCCCTCAGACTTAGTCTTCGTGTGAGACGACAAATTTATTGTACGGCCCAGTAGTTAGGAAATTGCGCGCATGGGTTTCTTTGGCAAACGTAATTAAACTGCGTTGTGGAGGAAAGGCGATGTGTGCAGCTGCGTTCCCGAGATGGAATCCACTAGGAAGCACTTATTGAGCAGGCTCGAATGATTACACGCAAGTATGTGTGCGACGAGAATTAGCGAAGTATGTCCGTACGAAGCACGATGGAATACGAGCGCAGGATAAAAACAGCGAAGGAAAAAGCAATGCAGTATTTGTGCAGTACGCTAACGGCTCCATTGGTAGACACTAGCGAATTTTTCCACGCATTCGCTTTCCCTGCAATTGGCGCTCCTCGCTTAAACTCAGCACAAAACGCATGAGTAGTGTGTTTACTCACTCGCGTGAGACCATCGGGTTTTCACATCTGTCACAGACTTAGGAGTGCTCTCGTGACGTGATATGAGATCACTAGAAAATACAGAAAAATTGCACCGTACGTCACTTCGTATGCTCTGGGCATTGCGACTCAGTTTCTCCACATGGTCCGAAGAAACTGTCCCTCGCTTATTCACCTCGCTCACCAGACCAATCCTTGAATACGGCGCCTAGCTTACCATCCGATAAGCCAGCGTGAAACTGGAAATCTGGAAAATATACAGCATACCACAACTAGAATGATACCCAGTCTATGGAAGTTTACGTATGAAAAACTTTTTGTAAAGCTTGGATTCTACACACTATCCTACCGCCGAGTAAGAATTGCCCCTATTATGACCCATCGAGTACTACACTTGAACCACTTCCCATACTGCGGCCAATATTTCACCTGCGGGAACCCCATAACACCCGAAGACGGGGTTACAAACTCAGGGTCCCCTGTATGAACAAGGTATCATATCAGCTTTGTATAGAACGAAGAATCGTAACATTATGGAATACACTACCAGAAGGACTAATACAGGCCGAATCTGTGAGGTGTTATAAGATATATGTCGATGATTATTTCAGAAACGGTGTACATACAATACAACAAATACAGACTATACCCGGAATTAATGATACCAATACGAATTCCTAGCCGATCAAGAATAAACGGTTAACTGACCAATACCGCTGGCGATTCTAAATTAACTATTGGTCATAATGTTTTAATAATGTTTTGAATAATTCGATAATTGTATAGAAACCTTCCTACTTGCTCTTAAATACAGCCTCAGTCCCAGTCTCACCTAGACACATTGTGGGATGCAAGTTGGGACTCTCTCCAGTAGCTGTCAATGAATTCATGTTGTGAGTGTCAAGGGCACCAAAACTCGTCCAATCCCAAAGTATTAACAAGTTACTTGTTTATTAAATAAGTGTATACACACGGAAAGAGAGATTACAAAGTATAAGATTGTATTTGCTCTAATGGCCAAAATTTATATGCGTACAATCAATTTGTTCCGTTTAGGTGATAGTACTGGTGTCCTGTAAGCACGCATGTAATAAATGAAACGCATGTTTATTCTGCGTCGTTTAACAACATTATTACGGAAAGGACTGAGCAAATGAGATATAAAAGCCGGTTTTATTAGCATCCAGATTACCTGTGCACACGTTTCCACACACAGGCACCTATAATGTTCTTATTAGTGAGAGACTATTGACCTTGATGATGTGCAAACATCCGGCTGCTTTAGACGTAATGTGTAACAATTAGCCATACTTAAGTCTGTAAAATACCTGTACGCTATCTTTAGGTCTCTTGCCAGTCAACGGGAGTCGATCAACCAATTATAGCTGAAAACCTGCTCGTCTTTCAACGTAACCAATGTTCGAGCGCCATCCACTCAGAATGATATTTTAAATCCACCCGAAGACAGTACATATCTGCTATTTCTGGACGGCGCGGTAGTGAGTTCCAATGTCACAATGCTTTCCTTTAGACCCTGGGTTCTTAGCGGACATCTTAATTAGTAAATGCAAAGTGGCTTATTGATACAGTCGTCTTAGAAGTTGCAGGATAAATGTAGTCGGGAAGTTTAAATGCTCAGTAATGCGTCGAAACGGAGACTGCTGCTACTCCCTTCGGTCCGGTCTATCGAGTCTCAGGAGGACAATGTCCACTAAGTGCTACACTCAGCTGACTCGCTGGGATGCATCAGTGCCACGGAATGGCTTCGTTAAGGTGAAGTGATAAATATTGCGCCCAATTGAACTCACGAATGTTACACACAAATATCGATCCAAGTAAGTATTTCTAATTTTCTAATCTCGATACTGAATAACTAAAGGAATATGCCGTTAGTGTGCGGGCACTCTTCGTAAAAACCGACGGACGGGACCATTTTAGCTGGTACAGGTAACGGGAGTGTATTTTGCCTGACTATGCTTAGTTGTGTTTTAGCACACGTGCGATAAAGCCAGCCTAACCTGACAATCTTCGAGTTTCATGCCCAAGCTTTGTGAAGAGTCAGAAATGCATGAGTTAGCATTACGTCTCAGTCTTCATGATGCAGTCTTGTTATGGTAATATTTTTTTCTCATGTAAAGTATACTAACCGAATGATGACATTTGAAAGCAACTTAAAAATATGACTAGTGGTCCCTTACCTGACATCATTACCTCCGTGAGCGAATGAGTCCAAAACACAAGTCATCATCTGCAGCATGCCGAAAACTCTGGCCTCTGTAGGACGATCTTTTACGTTCTGTTGGTCCAGGAACTCCTGAAAATCGAGGTACAAGCAATACCTGTTAGATTAATGCACATAGAGCGAGTTATTCGAAAGCTCTAAGGCTCTTGGTTACCACGGATCATAGCTGTTAACTCTTTTATTGTTACTGGACTTTTGGCCAAATGGAAAACTTAATAACTTGATTCCGAAGTGCACATCGACATCTTTTTCTGTCAGTGTTCATCCTTAGCACTCTAGCATCACTAAATCATCAAACTCGCCGTGGTTCCATTTAGCTTTTCCTAACTAGAGAGTTTGAAGGTAAGCTGAACAGGAAGAACTTTAAACAGGTCTATTTTAAAAGAATAGCAATTTCATGGATGGATTTGCGAACCTAGGTGACAAAAGGCAGCACGGATTGGAGATTCAAGTAGCGATTTGCTCCTTCGATTTGGAAGTTCGACCAAAAGGTTTTATTAACAGTCGGGACAGAAAAGGCGAAACTAAAATCCGGCTGTGTAGTGTTGCTATATTACTATCTACATTGGTAACCAGAGTTAGTTTCGCTCTTGATTCGTCGTGAATCCTACGCCCACTTAACGGTCATTAGACAAATGCAGTGCTTGCTTCTGAATGTCTTGGGTGAATGCCTTAATTGTTCCAACTGCTGTTATGTGTTCACAGTGTCCATACATTCGTGTACTTCACGGAATTACTGTTCAGCGCTTTTTAACGAGGAATGTTCAGCGTTCATCTCAACAAATGCGCGGTGTTGTCCCATTTACACATGGGTGAAGAGAAAGCGATAGCATATGTCTCATGAACGTTTTCTGACACTGAAAAGAATTATTATACTGGTGAAATAATGGCTCTGGCTTGCATTCGGGCATGTGAGAAGTGGCTCTTTTACTTAATCGCGGGTCCAATATTTTGCGTACTGATCACTCTGCTCTTATGACCGTCGTAATAAAAGCCAAAGGCAGTGCGTCTAAACCGCTAGTACTCGCACCTACTAAACTAAGACCACGAAATCAGTACCGTTATCTCAAACAGCAGGCTCCGATGGCTTGGCCACGTATTGCGCATGCCACAGCATCGACTCTTGCGTCGTGCGTTGTTTGCACGCCCAAGGTGTGGATGGTAGAAAAGGAGAGGCCAATCAGTAACTTGGTCAGGAGGAGTGAAGGCCCTCGGTTTGAAGCTGATCTCGGTTGGAGCACCTGGGCTCCTTGGTTTGGTCCCAAAAGAGGATAAACACGTATGGCTGGATACACTTGTCCATATAGTTAAAAGCTGACCTCAGTTTTTTATGTTGTGAGTTTCTTGTCCCTCCCCCTACAACCACAATCTCATTTAGGGAACACAAAATACCCTTTTTCACAGCAACTAGCAGGCTGTCATCTCTCCAGAACGACGTCCATCCGTTACTGGTAACTCAGCAGGCTCTCTTCTACGATGTCTTTTTCTTCCTTCCCCATATATTTGGGCATAATAGCTAAGGTGTTATTACCTCTAGCTAACATGCATTATGTAGGTGATGCAAATACGAAATCAGGTACTAAGTGGGTGAGGTTAACCAAGTTGCAAATGCAAGTTCCTGGCTTCCACTATTACATGACGACTTAGATGAGGTGAAAATGATTTCACATCTCTCAACCGGAGCAGCCCTTGCTCGAACAGATATGCGAACATACTGCCGGAGACCCCAGCCTAGAGAAACTAAGGGGTATCGGCTTAATGAGTGGCCTAGACACACCAGAATGTATCCGGAGTTATCGCCATATTGTACGCTACGCTTCGAGCTTTCAATGGTAGGTAGTTGGATTGTGAGAGGCAAACAGCTCGTGATCCCTCATAGTCGCATTCCAGCGGTGATCGAATAAGAGCAAGTAGGTCACCCTGGTAGTGTGTGAACGAAAGCAATAATGCGCGACTACTAATGGTGGCCGAATATAGATTTCGGCATTTGAGCTACCAATCGAGAGTAAAATGCTTGCCACCAATTCGAAAAAAGCACGAAGCACTTCGAAACGTCATTTCAACCCGTCGAGTACCCATAAAGACCAGAAGAAAAACTGATATCAATATTGTGGATCTAATTTCCAATGTAAATTCTCAAAAACAAAATGAGTTGGTTTCATAGGAAATAAGCAAAAGCTATCATATTCAGGGATGTAACTAGAGGTGTCATCACAAAATGGTTGCAGGATTTGTTCGTAAGATATGCACTGTAGGAATAAATCCTAACTAATAATGAGGCGTAAATGAGAAATGACAAGTATGTGAAACCCTTAAGGGCAAATGAATCAAACACCTCAGAAGGAAGTCATCATCATAATCATCATACACGTTAGCTGGAGGTGGGGAACACCTCAGCTACTGTGCCGCAATACACAGAAAAAAGGAGAGAAGAAAAGAATTCAACTGGTGCAAGCCGGCTGAGCTACCGGTAACGGATGGGCATCGTTCCGGTAAGCTACCAGCCGGCAACTATGCATCAAAAAAAATTATTATGCAAAATTATATAAGGTTAAATAATGAGATCGTGGTTGGAGGGGGAGGCTAAGAGGGATGGGGTGGGACAAAGAAACTCACAGCACGAACGCCACTGAGGTCAGCTCCTAGCCATATCAGCAAGTGTGTCCAACCAAACGTGCTCATCGTCTTTCGGACCCTAACTACGGAGCCGAGACGCTCCAACCGAGGCCAGCTCAGAAGTGAGGGCCTTCATTCCTCTGGACCAAGTCATCGCTTGGCCACCCCTCCTCCTCTTCCATCCACACCCCCGGCGCGCAAACAACACACGTCGCGGAAGTCGGTGGGCTGGCATGCGTAACACGTGGCCGAGCCATCGGAGCTTGGTGCGTGAAATAACGGTGCTGAGCGGTTCATTTCCTTTTCCTGTGCCATAAACAAGGCGTCGAACACGCTCGTTGCTCAAGCGGTGTTCCCACCAGATGTGAGTCAAACAGCGAAGGCACCGGTGGTCGAACGTAACTAGCCTCTTCAGGTCCGCTGCTTTAAGCGGCCAGGTTTCACAACCGTACAGTAGGGTCGAACGCACTGCTGCATTGTACACTCTACCCATCAGGGCAAGAGTGATGTCGCGCCGGCGCCATAAGTGACGAAGGTTAGCAAAAGCGCCCGAGCTTTTGCTATACGGTTCGTGATCTCATCTTCAATCACACGGGCGCTGATACAACTTCCCAGGTAGTTGAATTTTTGAACGACTTCTAGCTGATCCCCACCAACGGTCAGCGTAAGTGGCGGTCCAGACCAATCATGGACAAACGCTTTGCACTTCGAGGGTGCGAAGCAAAGCCCGAAGTGACGGACAGCCAGTGCTAATCTGTCCAGTGCCGCTTAGCACGTTTGTGAGCTGTCACAGATTAGGGCAATATCATCAGCATACTATAAGTCAAGAAGTCGTTCTCCTGGGAGCAGATCCACATCTTCTAAGTCGTGTACTGTAAACGCGATTTCCATGACTTCGTCAACAGCGAAGTTGAAGAGGAAAGGTGACAGCGGGCACCCTTGTCTCACGCCGCTGAAGATATTAAAGGGCGACGACAACTTGCCGTAAGCCCTCACTCTGTCTGAGCTACGCGCATATAATGCTCGGATTATATTTACATATTTCTCGGGCACACCTTTCATGAGTAGACAGTCCCAAAGTGCACGTCTATCCACCAAATCGAATGCACTTTTGATATCGAGGAACACGACAATGGTGGGCTGCCAATATATGTGACGGTGCTCCAACAACTGACGCGAAGTGAAGATGTGGTCAATGCAGCTACGACCTCAACGAAATCCAGCTTGCTCTTCACGAATCTGGCTTTCACGTGCGCCAGTCTGTGAAGGATGACAGAGGCAAGCAATTTGGAGGCGATGGAGATCAGACTGATTCCTCTATGGCTGCCGCATTCCGATCGTGAGCCTCCTTTGAAAACTGGGACTATGATGGAGCGGCTCCAATCGGTAGGGACAGTTTCCTGCTCCCACAGTCTCACTAGTAACTCGTGTAAATCATCCAAAACGTGTGCATGACATTCAAATCAGAGTCTCTGGGACCGAGTGACCACTCGATGATCATAGCCAGCTTGGAACTACCGCTGCCGTATTCTTCCCCACTGGAGCCAGCCTTCAACTATTGGAAGGCGGATTTTAATGGCCTCGTTCGAGCAGCGAACCAGATGGACTGGTCTTTACCACAGGATTCATCCACTGAAACCTGTTGGACTATCATTAAAGAGTGAGTGCAATTGTTGTGTGCCCGATTTGTACCCCACAAATTTGGAAAGTTGGGCCAGTCAAACCACATTGGTTCGACAAGGAGTACAGCAAACTGGCCCGACGACGACGCAGACTGTGGAACAAATTCGTGTTATCTGGCTCTGATTAGGACTACTAGGCGTTCAAGGTACAGCGAAATCGCTGCAACAACGCAAAACAAAAAACGCAGAAGCTTCGAAGAGGAGTCTGCAACCTCCGAAATAAGTGCTCCTAAGGAAATCTTCGCATACGTGAAACAGCGCCTGAGGCCTGCAGTCAATGTCCTAGTGTTAGAAGGCTCAGATGAACAGCTCCTAACCTCGAGTACAGATCGTGCGTCCGCATTGACGGCGCACTTCGCTTCCGTATTTGCAAGTGACCAGGTGTCTGTAGCGAGTTCGACGAGTACCGCTCCAGCTGAACTTGACAGCCAAGACTGCAATATCAATGATGTACGCAAGCTTCTAGCCAATCTTGACGGGACGAAGCCTGCTGGTCCAGATGGAATCCACCCACTGATTCTCAAGTCCCTATCGGCCATCATGGTGCCTTCTGTACCTGAGCTGTTCAACAGGTCACTATCCACTGGACTATTACCGAGCGATTGGAAATGCTCAGTCGCAAAGCCAATACCGATAGGTGGTAACCCAAGCAAAGTGGATAATTACCAGCCGATCTGCCTGACCGCTGTTTTGGCAAAGACACTCGAAAAGATCGTGAAAAAGAGCTTTCGCCAGCTTCTCGAGTCGAAAAGCCTATTGACGCCCGCACAGTAT